ATATCAAGGTCCAAGCTTTATACCTTCAAATGAAGCTTGAGGCCAAAATACTTCTGGATCTAAAGTGCCTTAAGCTTCCAAGATGATTTCCTCTCCTACTCCTTCCTTCAAGAACACCACAAAGCACACTTTCAAGCTCAAAATACACACATAAGGGAATTAGAGTTTGCTTGGGACGAAAATAGGGATGGAGGTTGATTAATGAAGGTGTCTCAATGAGATAATGATGCTTAAATAGGGTCAAAACCCTAAAAATTAGTGTTTGTCCATCAGTCGCCTACGCCCAACGTATATTGAGTACGCCAAAAGTATATTGAGTACGCCCATCGTACTAGACAGCCCACATATTTTCACTTAAAGAGCCACATAACCAATTTTGCAGACAAAATTCATACTAAGGGTCAAAAATATAAATTACATGAATAATGAATGTTACAATTCTCCCTCACTTGAATACAACTTTGTCCTCGAAGTCCGGTGCTGTGAACAACCTAGGGTGGTGCTCTCACATATTTGCCTCCGGTTCCTAAGTCCATTTAAAACCCTTCTGATGCTGCTACTGGACCATGACCAAAGATACCACCTTATTACGCAAGGCCTTCGTCTTCCTATCCAAAATCGTCACTGGTTTCTCGACATAGTTCAAACTATAGTCAACCTGAATATCATCCAAAGGAACAACCCCTGAATCGTCAGCCAGATACTTCCGAAGCTGAGAAACATGTAAGGTGTTGTAAATCTGGCTGATCTCGAGCAACTTGTTCATGGATTTCGGGCAACTTAGTTTTCTCTAGTTTTTGTTATATTGGCTTATCGGTAAAAAATTCTTGTACTTATTAATATTTGTATGAACCATTCATTCAAACTTTAAAGTGGAATATAAATTTGTTGTTTTGTTATTGCTATACTTGCGATGTATATTCAATTTGTTTGTGACCCATGAACTAAGTCGCATAACCCGACGTGTTCTGCTGCCTCGGCCGGTGGTATGAAAAAATGCATATAACTTCTAGACTAATAAGATCTAAGCAAATAATATATCAAGGTCCAAGCTTTATACCTTCAAATGAAGCTTGAGGCCAAAATACTTCTGGATCTAAAGTTCCTTAAGCTTCCAAGATGATTTCCTCTCCTTCTCCTTCCTTCAAGAACACCACAAAGCACACTTTCAAGCTCAAAATACACACATAAGGGAATTAGGGTTTGCTTGGGACGAAAATGGGGATGGAGGTTGATTAATGAAGGTGTCTCAATGAGATAATGATGCTTAAATAGGGTCAAAACCCTAAAAATTAGTGTTTGTCCATCAGTCGCCTACGCCCAACGTATATTGAGTACGCCCATCTTACTAGACAGCCCACATATTTTCACTTAAAGAGCCACATAACCAATTTTGCAAACAAAATTCATACTAAGGGTCAAAAATATAAATTACATGAATAATGAATGTTACAATTCTCCTTCACTTGAATCCAACTTTGTCCTCAAAGTCCGGTGCTGTGAACAACCTAGGGTTGTGCTCTCACATATTTTCCTCCGGTTCCTAAGTCCATTTAAAACCCTTCTGATGCTGCTACTGGACCATGACCAAAGATACCACCTTATTACGCAAGGCCTTCGTCTTCCTATCCAAAATCGTCACTGGTTTCTCGACATAGTTCAAACTATAGTCAACCTGAATATCATCCAAAGGAACAACCCCTGAATCGTCAGCCAGATACTTCCGAAGCTGAGAAACATGGAAGGTGTTGTAAATCTGGCTGATCTCCTCAGGCAAATCCAACCGATAGGATACCTTAAGTACCTAGCTAGTACTCAAAATGGCCCAATATATATGGGCCCTAACTTGCCCCTCTTCTTGAAGCGTATTAAATCCTTCTAGGGTGATACCTTCAGTAAAACCATATCGCCGACCTGGAACTCCAACTCAGATCGATGTCTATCAGCATAACTCTTCTACCGACTCTAAGCTGTATGCAACTACTTCCTGAGATGTTGAATATGCTTTGTCTTTTGAAGAACCACTTCGGTCTTCCTATGACCCAGTGTCCGGCCTCTCCCTAACATACCGAGGTATGACACTTCTTCCCATAAAGAAGCTCCAATGGCGGCACACCAATACTAGAGTAATAGTTGTTGTTGTAAGAAAACTCAACTAATGGAAGGCAGGAGTCCTAACTCACACACAAATGTATGACGCAAGCTCTCAAGATATCATCAAGTGTCTTTATTCTCAAATTCTTTATGTATAAAAATCTTTATTCTCAAATTCTTTTAGCATTTTAACAAAATGTGTTGTTTAAAATTTTGAGCATATTGTTATTATTATTATTATTATTATTATTTTATATATATATATATATATATATATATATATATATATATATATTAATTAATTAACATATGAAGCTTAGGAATAGTAACCTGGATATTTTTTTTGGTAGAAATGGTCCATATACTTTGCTCCTCATTGTTTACCTATTTTTACAATTTTGGTCCTTGTAATCAAGATTTTTACATTTTTTAGGAACCTTTTAATATTTAAATTTTGGCCATAAAACTTTAACGGTTTGACAACTTTGATCCATTTTCTAAAAGTTTGCTAATTCGTATCCCTTTAATTCTTTAACCGTTTTGAAACTTCTTATCTTTGCAGTTAAAACTTTTACATTTTTTTCATAAAAACATGAAAAAAAAACGGTACAGGGCAAACTCCGGGCTTTTTCATCCTTGCACTTTCTACATCTGTCATATTTATTGATTCGGAAATAATATTGAAAGCTTCTGGTCTCCGCATAGCGGGAGTAACCTTTCTAGTTATTATTATTATTATTATTATTATTATTATTATTATTATTATTATTATTAGTGGGCAATGACTAAATAAACACATAATTTACTAAAAAACAACATTAACTAAAAAAGCACATTTAGTCAAAACTCATTACTATATACTAACTAAGTGATAATTAAAAAACACTTTTTAATATTTCTATTTTATCTTTTAGAATTATTTAAATATAATATGTGTTTTTATATAACTTGTTTCAGCAATTTTCTAAAATATATTTTTATTTTTTAAATTTATAAATATTTTGTTGATAAAAAATTATTTACGGTGCACTTTCGTTAAATATTATTTTGAATAATAAATCTTTAATATTTTATTTAGAATAATAAGTTCTTAATATTAAAGATTTTGTAACAAGTTACGTTTGACTCCAACTTATGAAATACAATTTGCTTTGACTCAATTTTCATTTTGACTAATTTATTTTGTACACAATTTACAATTTACTTTGGACAACCGAATACACCATAGTTCTTATTTCTCGTGAACAATCAAAAGTAGTATATTAATAAAAAAATAAAAAAAAAGGTTGTTAAAAATAATTATTAATAAAACAGCGAAAATGATTATTAAAAAAATATAATATATTAATAAATAAGATGATAATACAAAAATTTTAATTAATGTCTAGCATAATTTAATAAATATAATTAATAATTTGTTTGAATTTACATAATAATATAATATATTCAAGTTTGACTTTTGATAAAGATGATAATTTAATAAATATAATAATTAATAATTTGTTTGAATTTACATAATACAAAAGCTAAGTACAATATATTCAAGTTTGACTTTTAAGTACATTTAAGTTTGACTTTTGATAAAGATGTTTATAAGATTTTTATTTAGTAGCATTTTAATTAGTACGGTATATCAATGATTGATTGTCTACGTATATTAGCTATTCAAATAAATATATATTAATTCCAAATAATCAATATAAAAATCTAAATAAATATTATATCTTATTAATTTAATAAATTTTATAAATTTTTTTACACGTGATTTCCACGGGTTATAAGCTAGTTATTTAATAGAAAAGTATCAACCAAGTAGTATTAAATCGTGACAACAAACAGAAACAGAAGTAAGTACATTTATGACTAAATTAATTTATTTACTTAATTAGAAAATAGAAAATTTGAAAAATTTGAAGTTCAAGTTAAAATAGCAAATATTTACTTAAAATTTAATTGTAAATTTTTTAAATAGCAAAGGTTATCTGAAATCAATTGTTTTATGTTCTTATTTTCGTCACAAAGTTTTTATTTTGCTCTATATAAAATATTTTAGTCATTTTGGTAAGACGAAAATATTACACCACCTTATAAGTTTGTAACCGATATGACCATACATCAAATATTAGATGTATATACATGTTAAGCACATACTTCATCAATATTTCGGATTTTTGTTGATTGATTACAGATTACGTATTTCATTTATGTAAAATAATTTAATTTTTTTTAATGTTAAAAATATAGCAAAAATTTTCATATAAATTTATTAGAATATGATTAATATCCATAAATCATATACTCAACAAAAGGGATTATTCCTTATGTGTCCCTACCTAGCTTTAATGGCATATCTTATTGCCAACAATAGAAAAGTAAATTGCCAAGTAAATTAAATTTCAAAACATTAATTAATAAGATTGACTATCCCATACAAGTCTTTTTAGTTAATACGTTTTAAATTATATTTAAAAACGTGATAATTTTTCAAAAAGCCATATTAATAAACAATTTTTTTTTTAGAAACAAAGAGATTTTACGTTTTATATAATACATGATTTATATAGTTATCTATTCATTATTTGTGATATTTGATCAAGAAAAAAATCTCCAACATAGCAAGAAAATCCAAAATCTTTTCACTAATTCCAGATTTAGACATCATGTTCGTTAAACAACAAATAAGACATCAATAGCTAATTTGCCCAAAGTCTAACGGCCAACGTTGATATGCAAACGTGGTGGTCCAGATCACTTGTTCCTTCTGTCTTTATACAAAAAGCTACTTCTCTCTGTATTTTATAAATAAATATATATATATATATATATATATATATATATATATATATATATATATATATATATATATATATATATATATATATATATATATATATATATATAAAGTAAAGTGTTTTATTTTTGTGTGTGTGGGAATGATGATGGGTGAGAGAAGTTTGTGTTGGGTGGTAACTTTGTTTGGAGTGTTGTCAGCAGCAGTATATAGTTATAAGTGCGATTTGTACGAAGGAAGTTGGGTATACGATGATTCATATCCAATGTATGATTCAACAAAATGTCCGCACATTCGAAAGGAATACGACTGCATCAAATACGGTCGCCCCGACCTTACCTACCTTAAATTCAGATGGCAGCCCACCCATTGTATCTTACCCAGGTACCCATTCCCCCCCTCGATCTCCATGTATATACACTTATAATCTATAACAAATTTTAATCAATAAGTATGTTTGACTCTTTAAAAGTCAACAATATGTTTGTAATGCAAGTACGCTAGATCTCCGTACTCATCTTTTGGAATTATATGTATGTTTGTCTAATTTGAATATTGATTCCAGTTATCTTAACTTTTCTTAGACGTCTCTTTATGAAGGTCTCATGATTCATGTGTTGTTAATGTTGAATAGAAAACTTCATATTCTAAGCCACGCTTCAAGAATGTTAGGTGGTGTTTGGTTCAATGAATTTTTGTTAAGAATCAAAATTGAAATCATTTTATTTGAACACCTCAGATTCGATGCGGAAGAATTCTTGAGAAAAATGAGCGGTAAAAAGATCATGTATGTTGGTGATTCAGTAAGCTTAAATCAATGGCAATCAATGGTTTGCCTTCTTCATGCTGCGTTGCCTTCAGAGGCCAACATCCATGAAGAAACTATTAACTCAACTACAACTGTCACCTATGAGGTTATTAATTAATAATTAATTGTAATACAAGATTAATTTGTAAACATATTAATAAAAAAAGTTAATATATATATATAAAATATTTGTCCATTTGTAGGATTATGGAGTTTCGATTTCAATGTTCTTGTCTCATTACTTGGTAGACATAACGCAAGAAAAAATCGGTCGGGTTTTGAAATTAGACTCCATTACAGATGGAGATGTATGGAAGGAGAACGACGTGTTGATCTTCAATACTTGGCTTTGGTGGTATCGTCGAGGAGAAAAACAACCGTGCGTATAAAATATAAATTTTAGTTATTTTTGTTTAAGCGACTTTAATGACATTAATTAAATAATTTAACATTTTTATGGTTTGATGCAGATGGGATTATGTTGAAACAGGTACGAAGATACTTAAGGACATGGATCGGATGGTTGCTTTTCGAGAGGCTTTAACAACTTGGGCAAATTGGATCAATTCCGATGTAGACACTGTGAAAACCAGATTGTTTTTCCAAGGAGTTTCTCCATCTCATTACAAGTAACTTAACATTCTTTGACCCTTAATTTGATAGCATTTGTTATATTTGTTATATGAGACGAGACTGGACTGGGCTGGACTGAATAGACATGCCATGTAGCGAGTACTTTTCTTAATGGGATAAAAAATTGCAATTTCTATCTCGTTTATATCTGTCTTAGTTTCAATCGCAGTCCCGTATAAAACAGTCTGTTTTATCTTGTCACGTGTAACAAAGTATGGTCGATTACAATATTTCGTATTCTTGTGTTTATTTGACAAGATACTTATTGTCTAAAATGAAAATTGTTTAGTGGGGCCGATTGGAATGAGCCGGGAGTGACAAATTGTGGGAAAGAAGCGCTTCCGATAAGTGGATCGACGTACAATGGAGGGTGGCCAAAGGCGGAGATGGTGGTGGAGCAAGTTTTGAGTGGTGTTAAAAAGCCAGTGTCATTGCTCAACATAACAAGATTGTCTCAATTGAGAAAAGATGGACATCCAAGTAGTTACAATGCCTTCAGAGGAATGGATTGTACTCATTGGTGTGTTGCTGGGGTTCCAGACACATGGAACCAGCTTCTATCTGCTGCTCTTGGTTAAAATTTATGACCCATACATATTGATGATTAATGTATCTCAAAATTTAATATGGTTGTATTTATTGGTCAAAAAATTAATATATACATCATTTATTTGATTAAAAATTTCTATGATTAATTCAAAACGTAACACCCTCCGGTTGCGTCTACTTTATGCGGTAAGTTAATAATTGTGGCGTTAAAGAATTGAAGTTGTATTGTGACTTATGAGTCGCCTTGGGCTTTGTATAATGATGGGTCAAGAAAAAATCGGAAAACTGCGAAAATTTAGTCGGAAAATAATAGGTTTTATAATCTTGAGTTTTAATACGAAGATGAAGATCAAAATCAACATGAACAAAATTTTGTAAAAATTGAGAATTAATGAACAAAACTTTTTATTGGTAGTCTTTTGAAAAGAGAAAGAAAAAGAGCATTTTGTAAAAAAAATCTTTAAAAAAAAATGTAACCTGTTGGGCTATTCTTGCAACCAAATCTTGGAGGTGCCATGTAAAGTGGTTAACTTTAGAGGCTAGTTTTCAGTCCATGTCACTTCCATTCGTCTATAAATAATACATTAGAGTGTATGTGGTTGTGAAAATTATTTTCAATTTTCTTGGAAAGGTTTTCAAAAAAGGAGTGAATTTTTTATTCTTAATTTTCTTTAGAAAATTTATAAAATGCAATTGATTAAAACTGATTTAGTTTTTACTTTTCTTTTAAAAAAAAATTATCAAATCGTGTTTGGACGAGTAATTTATAATAGTTTTTATTTGTAAATTTGTTATTTCAAACCATACAATATTTAACATAAAATAAAACAGTTTTAATAAATAAGGATGGGATTTGATGGGGTGTAATGGGTAGGAAAAATATTAAACAAAACACATTTTAAAAAATTTCATTATTCCAACAAAGAATTTATGGAAAACAAATGAACTTTTTTCACAGCCAAAACGTATCCTTAGGCTATATGGTGTGGCAGCAGTCTAGGACCACGATTTGTGCCACCTAGGCCGTGCACACCACCCCCAGACCGGGGTCTTGCGCGGTTTTGGCCGTCCTGTGGCTAATTTGTACCGTGTTATGTGATTAGTAGATGGATATTTGACCGTTGAATGTTGGTTGGACGTAATTAATTATTATTATTATTATTTTGTTTTTGCCTTTCTTTCCTATATATACATATCCACTTCATTTGTTTTTAACTACAATACAATCTCTTCTCTCTCTGAAAAACTTTTTATAAAAATCACTACTCTCTAAAAAATGTTATCTTATTCATCTTTTGAAGAATTTCAGATTATTTTTGATACCGCTGTTGAGTGTGCTCAAATGGCGGAACAAACATACAATGTTGTATGCAACAACGCAGCTGCAAGTTTTCAACGGAGAAGACGAAGATATGTTATCAGAAATCGTGAAGAAGCCAACCAACGTTTGGTGCAAGACTATTTTGAAAAGAATGCCACTTATCAAGAGTATTATTTTCGTAGACGCTTCAGAATGTTCAAAGGTTTATACGAACGTATAGTTGAAGATGTAACGATGGAGTGTAGTTTTTTTTCAACAAGGCTACGATGTTAAAGGTACACCCCGTTTCACTCCCTTACAAAAATGCATGGCCACACTTCGTTAGTTAGCATATGGCATTTCGTCTGATACGTTAGACGAAAATTTTAGGATGTCTGCTAGGATCGCACGAGACAGTCTCCATTTTTTCTGCAAAACTGTGATTCAATTTTATGGTCCAAAATATTTACGTAAGCCTACACGTAATGACATCCTGCTATTGCAAGTTCATAATGTTAGTGTGCATGAGTTTCCTGGAATGCTAGGAAACTTAGATTGTCTCCATTGGGCATGAGAATATTACCCTACATCATATCATGGGCAATTTACCCAAGGTGATCATGGTCACCAAACGGTCATACTTGAAACAGTTGCATCACAAGATATGTGGATTTGGCATGCTTTTTTTGGTTCTCCTGGTTCGATTAATGATGTCAACATTCTTAATCGTTCACCAATATTTAACAACATATACGATAGATATGCACCAGATTCTTCTTTTGAAGTGTGTGAAACGCCATATAAGTATGGTTATTATCTAGTTGGTGGAATCTATCCTGATTATGCTATGTTTGTTAAATCGTTTACGTGTCCACATGGTTCTAGACGAAAGAAATTCAAGAGACCTCAAGAAAGAGTTAGGAAGGATGTTGAGCGCCCTTTTGGAGTTCTGAAGAAATGGTAGTTCATATTGAAAAAACCAGCAGCTTATTTAGGCGAGGAAAAACTTCAAGAAATCATGTATACATGTCTCATATTGCATAACATGCTTATTGAAGACGAAAGAAGAGTGATATGTACGTTTGACGAGGAAGAAACCATACCAGAGACATAACCAATAGAAATTAGTGGTAAAAAGTATATGAACAGGAGAGTAAAGATATGTTGCACTGAAACATTTCATAATCTTCGCAATGACTTGGTGGAACATATTTACGGGGTTTAAAACATTAACCTTAATTTGGATCCATCGGATCGACTTTATGTAGTTTGATTTAGTTATTTTATTTGTGTTTTTTAAGTTTCTATGATTATTTAAATGTCATGTGTGTGGTTTTCATTTTTTTTTTGGTAATGCAATGTAATGTTTTTTTTTAATTTTTAAGTAATGAAAAATTATGTTTTTTTTATTAAAATAGAAGTTTTATTAAATTAAAATAGTTAAAAGAGACATAAAAAAAGATTTATTAAATTAAAATAGTTAAAATAAAATAAAAATGTAGTACCACTCCCTTGGTATGGCAAGAAACCACATTTGAGTGGTAAAAAATAACATGACGTTTATGTGGTGGGAGAGAGAGTACGGTTTCGGTGTCACCACTTCCTCTAGCCTTATGGCCGTTTAGTTGACAAAAAATGTTTTTTCTGGATTATGAAATAATTTCAAAAAAAAAAAAAAAGTAGAGTTTTTAACTTTAGTAAAAAAATTCAAAAAACGTGTTGGGTTAAAAAAATAAAAATATGAAAAAATAAACTAAAACTATAAAAAAATCATATTTATTTATGTTTTTCTAAACTTTATAATAAAAAATTAAAAATAAAAAAAAAAAAAATCGGACGTTAGAATATGTGTAAATATTTTAAAATATTATAATATCATGGACAATGATTTATCATTTTTTTTAAATAACAGTTTTGAAATATATATATATATATATATATATATATATATATATATATATATATATATATATATATATATATATATATATATATATATATATATATATATATTGGTTCATTTGAAATCATTCTAATTTTGTGAAACCGTGAGATCAAATCTAAAAATAATTTTAAAATGCAAAATAAATGGAAAAATCCAAAAATTCTTTTTTTAAATATTATTTTCGGAACTTGAATTAAGTAAAACAAAAATTTAAAAAATTAAAAAAAAATTTAAAAAAATAAAAAAAATCCGTTTTTTTTTTGAAAAATAAGTGAAATATTCTAAATAAAATATTACACTGACATATTCTAAAAAATAATTTTAAAATGCAAAATAAATGGAAAAATCTAAAAATTCTTTTTTTAAATATTATTTTCGGAACTTGAATTAACTAAAAATAAAGAAAAATAAAGAAAAATAAATTCCATTTTTTTTAAAAAAATACGTGAAATATTCTAATAGAATATTACACTGACATATTCTAAAATAAATGGAAAAATCCAAAAATTCTTTTTTTAAATATTATTTTCGGAACATGAATTAACTAAAAAAAATAAAATAAAAAATAAAAAATGCGTCTCACGGTCTCACAAAATTAGGCCGTCTCACATGAACCTAACCCTATATATATATATATATTATATATATATATATATATATATATATATATATATATATATATATATATATATATATATATATTAAAGTCTCAATATTTTCATCGATTTGATAAAAAAAATAATAGGTTTTTTTTTTTTTGACAGTAAAACCTTAATTACCGACATATTTTGACACGTTTACCATTTTTTCCGGTTAGCCGGTAATTAAGACTTTATTGTCAAAAAAATATATATGATTTTCTTGTCAAATCGTGAACTAGAATTTTACTGTTAAAAATAAAGTTTATCTTATCAAATCGATAAAAATATTGAAACTTTACTCTCTCTCTCTCTCTCTCTCTATATATATATATATATATATATATATATATATATATATATATATATATATATATATATATATATATATATATATATTATTCATTAGAAAACACATAACCCTAAAAAAAGAGAAAATATATAACCCTAGAATTTTGGACCAATAAAAAAACATAAAAAAAATACTGAGAAAAACATATATTTTTTTAAGTTATATATATATATATATATATATATATATATATATATATATATATATATATATATATATATATATATATACACACACACATACACACACACACACACACTAAAAGGTGATCCGCGTTTCGCGGCGGTTCAAATATTTTTTTCATTGTTACATGTTTTGGTGTTTCTTTGATTTTTTTCGTGTTTGTTGTTTCTATCTTGTGTGTATAATGTTATAAAAAAGTAGGGTCGTGTAGTAGATTATCGAAGGTAGCGGGACGAAAAATATCAACTCCACAAACTAATGTGGTAAAAACTTGAAGTGTCATATTTGGTAAATGTCATGGACTAAAAGTGGCAAATTCTTTGAAACCTTTATGGCTAAAACTGTCAAACTCCAATCTAGGAACTAAAACTATCAAACCCCAAAATTATTGTGGCTAAAACCTTAAGGGTCTAAACTTTGGACTAAAATTGTCTACATTTAAAACTATTGTGGCCAAATCCTAAAGTCTCTAAAGTTAACTATTCCTAAGAATGTTGTGGATTAATATATATATATATATATATATATATATATATATATATATATATATATATATATATATATATATATATATATATATAATTTCACAAAAAAAACAAACTATTGATTCTTTATATTTTATTTTTAAAAATAATTTGTTTTTCCTAACTTTTTTCAGTGTGTATATGTGTGTGTGTGATTTTAATGTTTATAAAATAAAATAAAAATGACTTG